TCGTTTATAGCGATTATGAGTACAAACACGAAACGAACTATTTATGTGGGTAGGTATTAATTTGTTAGAACTTAATTATAAATATAACCTACATTATAGCCAGCACATATTTATTTTTATACATTTAATGTTAGCAGTTATTATTAATTTTTAGGAGGCCTAGCCGAAGAAGTAGATGAAAAGATATTGCACGCAGCGTTTATACCTTTTGGTGAAATTGTTGATGTTCAGATACCACTAGATTATGAATCGGAAAAACACAGAGGATTTGCATTCATTGAATTCGAAAGTGCTGAGGATGCGGCAGCAGCAATTGATAACATGGTACATATATATAATAATCTACATATCTCTGTGAGATATTTAAAAACATGGTTTCATAACATTTTTTAAATTCAAGTACTATTTTATTTTATTTTGAAATATTATAGGAATTCTTTATAATAATTGTTATTATTATTATTATTATTTATTATATGTTTGATTCTAAAAGACATATAATGATGTATTCATTATTGTGAGATAGACATAATAATGGACTTAAAATTGATTCCACTTATCTAATTGTCACAACATCAATCATTGTGAATTTATCTTTGATAAACAGAATGATTCTGAGCTATTTGGAAGAACAATAAGAGTTAACATTGCCAAACCACAGAAGATAAAAGAAGGTTCTTCTAAACCTGTCTGGGCTGATGATACATGGTTGCAAGAACATGCTGGTGAAACCCTCAAAAGCGATGATAATGCTAAGTCAGGAGAAACAATACAGACCAAGAAAGGAAAACAAAATCCTCAAGTTTATTTTGATATTAGTGTTGGAAAACAAGAAATAGGTAGAATCATTATGATGCTGAGAGCCGATGTGGTACCAAAAACAGCTGAAAATTTTCGTGCATTGTGTACTCATGAAAAAGGATATGGCTACCAAGGAAGCACTTTTCACAGAATTATTCCTGATTTTGTATCCTTTACGCATCACGTATATCCCAATATTTTTGAATTTGCTTCATATAAATTTACATGAATATATATTTCTTAAATAATCTTAGATGTGTCAAGGAGGAGACTTCACAAATCATAATGGAACAGGTGGCAAATCAATTTACGGAAACAAATTTGATGATGAGAATTTCGAGTTGAAACATACAGGGCCTGGTACCTTATCTATGGCAAATTCTGGTACAAATACAAATGGCTCACAATTTTTCATATGTACAGCTCGTACAGATTGGCTAGATGGAAAACATGTTGTCTTTGGACATGTCCTTAGTGGTTTAGATGTTTTAAAAAAAGTCGAAAAATTTGGAACAAAATCTGGTACTCCTGCACAAAAAGTAGTGATAACAGCTTGTGGAGAATTAACTTAAATGGTTAGAAACTTATTTTTATTAATGTATTATAATAATGTAGGCTTTGTATTAAAGATACAAAGTTATTAATAAAAATTAAATTATTATTAATAAAAATGAAAAGAAAATTGAACTTGAAATTGAATAACACAATTTAACCTATTTATGATTACTTCTTATGATTACTGATATACTTCTTCATTTGGTTATCAAATCTTAATAATCTTACAATTGCAAAAGTTTTAAAGATAAAATATTAGTCTCTATGATCTCAATTCTGTTTTTGAAATAATGATTCTTTTAAAATTTATTACGTAAATTTAAATGTTAATAGAAATTTTAAATAATGAAGGTACTTATACATTTTTGTTTTAAATATACAGACATTAACATTTAGTATACATTAACATTCATAGATATAGATATAAATATTAATACAAAACGTATACATTACATTGTACATATTTGTGCACTGTCACGATCGTAATCGTGTTTGCTAAAATATCTATAAAGCGGTGACGTGATATTTTCGATCATATATTTTCGAGGTTCTGATCAAGTAACTTTGCATTAGTTTGATTATCATTATCCACCATAATGTGGCGCACTGCAGTAAATCAAGGTATTCGTAATTTTAGCGTTAATTCGCCCGTGATAAAATGCAATCGTTTACAAGGGAAAACAGCAATTGTGACAGCTTCAACAGATGGGTGAGGAAATTTATAGAATATAATTTAGAATTAATTATTATTTTCATAAATGCTATCACTTAACTTCTTTCGTTAAATTAGCTATTTACATATTTTTTATATTTTTTCTACAGTATTGGCTTTGCAATTGCAAGACGTTTGGCTCAAGAAGGTGCCAAAGTGATGGTTAGCAGTCGTAAAGATTCAAATGTAAAGAAAGCAGTGGAACAGCTTCAATCTGAAGGACTAGAAGTATCTGGTGTTGTATGTCATGTTGCTAAACAGGAAGACAGAAAAAATCTTTTTAACAAAGTAAATGTTAAACAATTATATGTTATATTAAAAGTTATTATACATTATTAACATCAATAAGTAATATTGTAGACAAAAGAGAAATTTGGTGGATTAGATATTCTTGTATCAAATGCAGCTG